TATCCTTATCCTAACCCACCAGTGCATTAAGGCACTAGCCTAAAAATCAGTCAAGGACTGTTCAGAGCTACACAACAAACCTCAGCTTGAGTTCAGATCTGTAAGCAACAAGACTGTTTTGCAAGAGAAAGCATTTATGAGCAGGACAGCTCCTGGGAAACAAAATGTCCTCACGTATTTAGAGACGATTCACAAAGAATCCGCATAGTACCACTTAAAGGTTGACATTTGCTAGTTTTCTAAGTTACATCTTACATGCCCATACCACGTACAAACAGCTCTGTGAACTTTTATTAGGTGATGCCCAACTCTTCAGGGTTGTAGCACTGTCTCCTGAAGTGCTTTAAACAGACCTTCACAATAATTTGAAGGAGCATTAAATTACTACAGACAAATAAAAGGATGAAGCCTTAATAACTGTTAAGACCACATGGATCTCATGGCTGAGATGGTTTCCCCTATTCCGGTGGCACACCACAGTATGATCTTTAATTAGTATTATGGCTCTAGCATACTTTTTTTTTTTTTCCTAAATCCCTAACATCAGACATCCTTTCCCACAGATCTGGAAAAAAATTAAACCCAAATCCTTTTTGTCCAGAGACTCAGTGGATTGCAGGGAACACATACAAGTAACTGCTAACTGCAAGAACATTTTAGATGGCAACAATGCAAAAACCCCAAATACTGCTGGACTGAAAATATAGGAACTTAAGGAATATGGCTCTTTAGCACTATGGTGAGGGTAAAGCAAGAGCTGAAACTGTAGATCAGTTTCCCAGACACCCCTTCAGATTTTTTAAAAAGTAAGGGTACCTAAAGAAAGAAAAAAGAAAGCTGCTACTCCAGCTTTGTCTGAATGACTTAATGTTTCATCTAAGTTCTTCAGAAAGTGGTGGGGACCAAAGAAAGTACGGAAAGTAAAACTTCCGATTCAATACAGGTTAGCACTGATATTCAGATATTTCTCATAAATTAAGCCTTCACTTTCCAAACAAATTCCACTGGGTACACTGCGATCCTATGTCTGACTGGAAATTGCATTTGCTCAGAAAATAGAGCAGTCAATACACCATCCCAATAATTAGCAAATTTTATTGCTAAAGTCAGAAAAGAAAAAGTTGGTTTGGAGACAAGTCCTATCTGTCAAGGGCACAAGTGGAAAACTGGTGCTGTTGACTGCCATTTAAATATACTTTTTATTCAAATACAGGACCTTTCTTTCTCATTACATTTCTGTAACTACTATAACGTCTGCAGCACAACAGAGATTTTCAGTTTTTTAGTTTCATCCAAGCACTTAACATCAACTTATAGCCAAATAAAATACCCTAGTTAGGACAGAAAAAACTCCACGAGTAGAAACTCAGCATCTTCAGAAAGAAAACCGAAGTCCAGCAATCTTTAGTTACGGCTAGAACAAAGTTAATGGTCTAACGAGTAGAAATCCTAGCTACATCACACGTGGCATACCAGGCGCTCTGAATCAATTTAAATCACGTCTGATGTGCTTTCCTCCAGAGTTGTGGAGTTCATAGCGCATTATACTGAAATAAGCCTGTGTTGAAGATTCTGGTTTATGAGCAGCTGCCGCCGAACAGCAGACAGGAAGTTAAGCTGCATTAGAAACGAGATGGAGAACGGTATTATAAAGGGGAGGGGAAGTAAAACAACTTCACACACTTCATCAGGGTAGTAACTGGTATTTAAACAATAAAAAAGAGTATCTGAGAACTAATGTTCTTGCAGGTAAGAAAGACCAGAGCTATATAAGCATCTCGAGTAACAAATGAAAACCAGGGACATTTTATCTTACTGTAAGAAGTATACAAAATGAATCATGCAAAGAAAGTTGATCACACAGTTCTTAACAGAAGAAGGGGACTTTCAATAAAACTAGATTTTTAAGAAGCACTGAAGTCCACAGACACACAGTTCAGCCTGAAGCTCATATGGTATCCATATAAAACTGAAGTAAAAATTAAAGAACTTCATTAGGCACAAAAAAATTAGTCTAACTAATTAATGATAACAGAGAACCAAGGCGAAAATAAAGCTCTCCATTTCATTCCAGGGTTCAATTACATGAGATTTCAGGCAATACATTAAACTACTACACTGTCTGCCTCTGAATTTCTTAACAATATCTATTCATTTATTCTTTAAAAAAGAACTGGACATTAGCTGACAACACAAAGGTATGGTTCGGATATCCAGAAACAGGACATACACTGAATTTGACCCCCCCACACCCCCACAATCACAATGAAATAAAATGTTCTATGTTTTTTACAATCTAGGGACCTATTTTTAGTGCTACTACTTCTTTTGCTATGACAAACCTGAAAAATTGCTCAAACACACAATTAAATTTGCTACAGGCCAAAGACAGCACAGAATGTTAAAACTATCTCAAAAAAATGTTAAGGTTGAGTTTAAAATGAGTAGAAACCTTAAGTGAACACTTAGCTATCCAATTCTTGAATTAATGAAGACAGGGTACCCACTAGAGCCCTACCCACCCATTGTGAACATCAGATGCATCAAATTAAAAGGCAAATTAAGCATAGGAAAAAACCCTCAGTTAAGAAACACCAGAATGAAAAACCTCAAGCTTATGAAGCAGACATTCACAGAATCCTGACTTTCGCATGGATTCACAAGGGTGTTGCTCTTTCTAAAATTCAATAATTTATGAAGCAATTCTAGCAGATACTGCATTGACAGCTTTGTCAATCTGTGTACAAAACTGCTTAGGCACAATAGTGACATACTTCAACCCTGGATAAACTATTTTGGGCCATCATTTGCTTAGCCAAACACTGAAGCAGAATTCCAGAATAAAAATATTCTAGCATTGGTAAGTTTATCTACATTCTAGATCTCAAACTAATGCCTAAAATAATAATTAACTGACAGCTCCCCCCACAGCCTTTTTTTATTCATATAATTAAAAACATGCCTTGCTGGCTTAAATCCAGTGATGAACAAACACACATTATGCACTGCCTCAAGAATCAAAGTTCATTAAACAATGTTGCACAGAGCTACAAAAATCACATGGTGTTAAGAGACTGTTGGAGCCTATGAAAGAAATTCTTAATAAAACCAAACGACAAAAATCTGTAGAGGACAGTATCTCAGACAAGTCACATGAAACATTTAACTGTTTCTGTTGATAACGTAACAAACACTCTCCCATTCTGCTTATTCCTCTTCTGAAGTTACGGGAGTGGCTTACTTTCAGACAAGTTCAATTCTGTGCAGAGCAAGCCTGCGTTCGCATGTGATTTACACTAGTAAAGTTTGATTACAACGGTGAATTTGTGATTTGCTCATACCACAGCATAACACTATTCCCATTTATTAGTTTGTCCACCTCTAGCCTCATTCAAATGAATTCTTCTAAACATTTTAGTGAAGCACCCTAGAATTTACTGTAAACACACATAAAACAGGGAGTGGCATTCATTAATGAGGCTCATGTTCTATTTTAATACACAGCGTATCTACCACGCTCTTGCATGATTAAGACAACACAAGAAAATGGATGAAGTAGTTCAGTACTTTAAAAATTCATTCAGAGAAAACAAAGTTAAAAAAATCATAGGAGTAAATAAAATTAGTTTTGAACTGGCAAGAAGAGAGACTTCAGTCTTCTTACACATTACAAGAAAAATTCCTCATTCAATTGTGAGCCAGAATCAATATTTTTCAATAAGAGCCAGATTCAATTCCGTTTCCTTAGCAAAGCAGTCAGTACCCAGCATAGCCAACTTCACTCCTTCTCCCCCAATTTGTCAAACTTCTGCAAGCCTCACAGGACTAAATGGAAAACAATTTTTTTCCAAAAAACCTCATTAACTTGAATTCCAAATACCATATCTGGCCTCAGGAATTTTTTTCCCTTCCAATCAAGTTTTCCCACTATAGGAAATATTTATCTTCCACCTAGCAGCATTTAAAAGACCCAATATGCCATTAAACCTGAATATGCTTCAAATATTTCCTCCAGCCTGGTAGGTTTGGTAGCATTAGCTGTTACTTGTTACAAGAATGGGTAAAAAATTTTAGGCAAAAGCAAGAATTTTGCAGTCTATTAAAAAAAAATCTTTGAAGTAAAAAAATTATACAGAAATTAGCGCAAAACAGAAAGGCTATGACGACTTAAGTGCTGGTCCAAACCTACTGAGGTCTGCAGAAAGTCTCCTATTGAGCTCAGTGATGTCTGGATCAGTCCCAAAGCATCTACAGTAGCATAAATAAAAGACAGCATCTACGTTTTAAAGATATGTTTTTCCTGTAAAACAAAATCAGCTCTAAGTGATTGCAGTAACTTTATTCTGATGAGACTAAGCAAGGTTTCTGACTTTAAATCTAATACAACTTCACAGTAACCATCACTGTCATTGGGGAATTCTAGCTATGATATCAGTCTACAGGACAACCACCTCAGAAAAAAAATTATTCAGAAATCAATTCTGAAAGCAATGCTTCTTCTGTATTATAGCTCATGGCGAAACCGAGAAAAAAAAGAAAAGCTTCGTTCCACTAAGCAGCACACTGAATGCTTGCTGTATCAACTGGCAACTTAAGACCCAATGAAGTAACCTGTTCAAAGCGCAAATTTTCACTAGTCTACCACAATTCATTGGCCAAAGTCTAATTTCTGAACCATTTTCGAAGCACCTACTCAACACCAAATTGAAGTTGGTCCCCAAGATTTCATCATAGCATGACAGCAGAAATATGGTTCTCTTCTTCAAAATAATAAAAAGCCACCAGTACTGCCCACGTGTTTCCCTCCAAAAATATTAACATGCTTTAAAACAAAGCGAGACCAGATTCTACCCTACCAGCCTTCAGTTGTACTCATGTGACTACCTACAGGCACACAGATGTGCAATATTAGTAATTTCACATCATACATGCAGCCCATGCTAATAAGATCATAAGCACAACGTAAAAATTTCTTTCAGTCGCAACAATTTCCTTCTTACCTTGCCTCCTTCTCTTTCAAAGTCGACATATTCCCGGGTCGGTGTCTGTCGCTGCTCCCCCTGCCAGCTGGCCGGAAAAAACTGGAGAGACAGATTGGTTCCTGTGGCCACAAAAGCCTTTTAGAAAAATCAATACAAACAGGATCAGGGAGCAAGACATTACATAAATTATGCAGGCAGTCATTTATTTTTACATCAGTTTATGTCTTAAGCCAGGCAGCATAGAGAATACTTAAAGTCAAAAACATGCACTCATCATTTTTCTTAAGTATTAAGTTACAAACATCTGATTCCATTTTGACAACATTTGCCATTGGCTGCTTCAGATATAAAATACAACATGGAATCAATACTTCTTTCAAATCAGTTTTGCTGACATTAGAATCTGTCCTTTCAGTTCTGTCTGGATACCCTGCACCAACTTAGTACCTACAACATTAAAAATTACCCATGTTTTTTAAAGAGCTTGCATATCTCTAAAAGAAGTACTGCTGAAGGAAAATGAACTCCTGAAACCTGTTACCAGGGACAACTTTCTTTGAAAGAAAAGGACTCGTTTCTTTCCACAATCTACTTGTACCTAGACAAACACTTATCTGAACTGAAATGTAAATATTCCTATTCTATTGTCTACAGGCAAGCAGCATCAATATACAGCTCAATAAACTTCACAGGATGAAGCCCTCTTGCCACATTAAGACACCAGTGAAATCCACATCAGCAGATGCTGTGTCAGTGAGAATAGGCAACCATAGGAATTCTTCTGAGCTGCAGCCCTTTATAAAATCATTAAAGGGACTGACTTAACTTAGAAAAAGCATATATTGCTTTCAAGTAAATAGTTTTCTATGGTTTCAAATGAAAATAAGATTCAGCTTTCTTTATAAACTCTCTGTATTTATTTGTGTATCTTATCAACTCCAATCCATGATGAGTATGTCAATTTCTAGACATGAAATAAAAAATTATTTTTGCAAGTAGAAGTTGGATTCACAGTATTTCTACCCTTCTCTGGTACACGTGAGTATGTCCCGTAATCGTGTGAATACTCGAGCATGCTCCCACAACATAAATCTACTGAAAATCCCAGGGTTAAACGTGATTTGTTGCAATCAAATAACTGTATTGATTACCATAATCACTTCGATTTAAATGGTCATTAATCCAGAATACAGTTTTTCTTAAAAGCTATACAAATACTACTCTAATAGTTGGAATTTCCTGACAAGCAGATTCCTTTCAAGCAACCCAGAATTCAGCAACTTTATGGTATAACTGTCCTGCTACCTATGACACAATAGCTCTACACGTTATTTAAGATAGTTCTGGTCATGCACTGCAATGCTGTCTGTCACAGGATTAATACCTCCCATTTTGAAAGTAGAAGTGCTTTGTCTTGACTTTTTCCCCTCCGCCAAGGGAGACTAATACTCTGCAATCAGGTTCCATTCCAGGCTATCCTTAAAAGCAGATTTTTAAATTTTTTTTTTAAAATCTCCTGTTAAGCACATTCTCAACGTCACTAAAATTGACGAATCAGTCCTGCTAATACTAGGGGGGATATTGTATTGGTACATTAATATCTGTTTGCCCTACAATATGCAAAGACAAACATTTCAATCAATGTAACAGAAGCTTCATCGAGGATACGCTTGCACGAATAGGAAGCATCAAAACTGCGAGGGCTGCAGACCATCAGTATCAGGCTGACTAGCTTGTATTATCCCTTTGCTTTTCTAAGTGATTTTATTTACATATCAACAAAAAAATTATACCTCTCTCCAAATATTTTTGACTCATAAGTCATCACCATTTAGTCTGTTCAAGAACTACCTTCCCACCTCCGAGCATCTTTAGCAAATACGTGTTTTATACCCCTTCATTTGTACACTTAAAACAAAATGCCCAGGAGTGAGATCTTTGAGAGCAGACCAACTGACCACTGCAGCCCTCCAGACCGCTCCAGTTTCTGCAGGCCCCAAGGATACTGGGCCAGAAGTACTGTGCTTGCTTTATGGGAAACCGAGCGAGACAGTGAAGTGCCCATGCCTCCCCCAACCTATGCTAGGGGGCCATGAAAAACCATGGGAGAAATATCAGAGAAAAGAAGAAAATGAAAGTACACAAGTTCCCACATCCTCATGGAGTCACGCGGGCAACATTTACATCATAGACTATTTAAAAAGCTACATAGACATTTATTCTCTAGATTTTTGAAGCCTCTTCCCTCCCTTTCAACAGATAGAACCATCCAATTAAAACACCCATGTGCTTCTCAAATCAAAATCATAAGTCAATACTGAAAAAAACTCGAGAACAGTCTTGCCAGTAACCACACAGGACTACACCGAACGCAACAATTTTCTTCTAGTAACAAGCAAATTTTAAAAAATTAAAAAAAAAAAAATCACACCACTACTTTGGTCTTAAACTTGGAAGTATGAAAATTGTAATTTTCTATACAGAGCCTTTCAAAGCTCAGTTTGAAATGCTATCATACACATATGCCTCAACTTTTGCAAAAAGCTTATCAGGTAGTACAAGGGTGATCTGACCCACACGTAGACAACGTTAATACAAGTACCTTCCAAACAAATAGGTAGTTAGGAAGTCTCCCAAAACAAACTGAACATGTAAAGTTATTTTCAAGTTATCAAAGCAATACCAGTAAGCCCAAAATCTTATTTAATATTTCAGTTATTTTCTCAGTAACACTGGCAATTAATTTTCTTTATTAGATCAAGAGTTATGTGACAGAAGTAACCAACAACCTACTGCCAGTTCTACATTAAATCCCTAAGCTGTTCTCTGGGGTTTTTTTGCCTGCTTAAAAATATGTAATGTCATTTGCGAAGGCTCCCTTTGGAGATAAAAGGATAAATCCTTGATGTCTGGAAAAACATTCAAGACTAAAAAAAGCAAAATTGCTAGCTCTTTTTAACATCAGTCATTACACACACTACATTTCTAAATAAACCTGACTACTTGTGCGCTGTTCATAAAACAAAACCAGATGTTTCAGATCAAGAAATTTAGAGGCTGTTTTATAATGAAGTAGAAGTAAAAATACGTAGAACAGGCATCACTGGTTGCTTCCAAGGGATGAAGTTCTGGCAGAGAAAGACAGCAGCAGGCTTAGAAATACAAAGGTGAAACTACAGTGATTTCCCATTTATATAAATAACCACGTAGGCTACATTAGAAAGCTAGTTTATAAGCTACATGTCCTTTTTTTAGGGAAGGACTCAGGCATACTATGCACTTTCACCTGTTCAGGAACGTCAAATGCTAGCAAACTACGTTTTCCTTAGGTACCCATTGTTTCCCTGGTGACTTTTTAAAGGAAGCAAACATGCACAATGAAAAATGAATATAAAAGTAATAGTAAAATTAAGAGACTGAGTACAGGGGGCCTCTCACAAAATAATATTACAGGTTCTAAGACTACAGATAACAAGCAGGGATAAGATTCAGCTAAAATAAAGTTACTCAGTAAAAGATAACTGTGTACTTGAGTGTATATCCTTTTACTCACAAATGCAAATGAACAAATGAACAAGATCAGTTGCAGTAACCAGTATTCAATTACATTTGTTTGGATGTGCATAAGAATAATTTCATTGTGCATAAGAATAATTTCACTGTGAACTGACTAGCAATATCTATACCACAAGAAATTAAAGAATCATCATAAACCAAACTCGGTGAAAGTAGGGGTTTTTTTCTATAGGAGGGGAATTCTCACCTTGTCTTTCATTATATACTGTAAATGAAAAAGAGGTTACTTCTGCATTTTAAGAACAGCGGAGTTAAGAACTTAACAACAGTACTATGAGATACTGATCCTATAGAAGGAACACACAGCAGAAATCAAACCAGGAAATAACTAGTCACTTCTTGACTACTCCGAGCCATACTTCATCTCACTTCTTAGCTCAGAAGAGAGTGGTCCGTAACTAACCTCAATGAATGACGAAAACAGGGCTCAAGTTGCGAGTTTCAAAGCCCGATTTTAAAAGCATTTGATTCAGTTCACAAATACATCAAACGCCTCATTCGAGGACTTTCAGCTAGCGTCTTCTGAACAATTTTACTCATTTCTGAAAGTTGCTGTTTC